TTATTTTCACAGATCCAGCCGATGCCAGACTTTATGTTTGGTGATTGTAGATTTTGAATTGAGGCATCAGTATGAAACCTATAATTTATTAATAAATAAAATATATATATAAATATATATATATATATTCAATTTATATGCATATGTATATATATATGTGCAAATAAAAATTTATTTAATTAAATTAATAAAAAAATAAAAATAAAAATACAATAAATGCATACGAACAAATTTCACGTAGCAAATACACAATTACTACAAAATCGCATCTGATATCGAAGAAAAAGAAAAAAAATTAAATAATGATTACGATATAAATAAACTAAAAAGAATATATATGGGAAAAATGATTACTGTATCAATTTTAAATAAAATAAAATAAATAAAAAATAGTACAATGCACCCGATAAAAGAAATCGTACAGTACAACCGATATCATGCTATGAATTTAAATAATTGATAATTCAAAATCATATAAATCAAATGTTATGACACAATAAATACACTGATGGCGTAAATTGACATAAAAAAAAAATATGCTATGCCATAAAAATGGAAATACTAAACAAATATCATAATTAAATAATACGTGTACATAAAAGACAGAAAAGTATATAAAAATACCTGAGCCCGTAAAAAAGATGCACTATACGTTTTTACTATATCTACAAAAACGTAAAAAAAGTTCTACTACAATTTCAGAAATGCCAATTCATGCCTCAATTATAGTAATAATAACCGCAAAAAATAACACCAGTTCATTCGCTTACGGAATAGCGCAATATCAATCTTCAGAAAACACATTTATAACCCTGCATTAGAAATATTTTGATTCATCCAATAAATTACTAAACTTTTCGGTAGGAGATATAGTATCTATCACGGGAAAATTTGTTATAGAAAATTCAGAACAATATATAACAATCGCCTCAGCCACTAAAGTCGATAAGAAAGACTCGAGTGACGAATTTAACCTGGAATTGATTCCCCTTAACACTCCCCACTTAATGTTCAACACAACGGTCATTTGCGACTTAAATACTATGGGTGAAACAATCCATTTCGGAGTAGAAACCAAAGAGTATAACTCCTGCACCGGAAATCGTGATATTTATATGCCCATTACAGTTTTCTATCCAATTCAACACACGAGATTTAACCACCTTCGCGCCAATCTTAAAATCGGTAAACCATTAATGATATCTGGGTTCTTGCACATTATCAAATCAACAACCATCATGGTAGAAGCGACAGATATTGACTACCTAAGACAAGAGATTAATTATAACGTAACAAAAAATCCATGTACTACAACAAAATATTTCCCAAC